CCAACGAGGATGAGTGAGGGTGATCGTCGACGGTGGGTATGGGAATGGGATCATGGTTCACGGATGAGAGATTGAGAGAATGAATGAGTCAGGTGAGGTTTACTGATGAGAGATTCAGAGGTGAGAAAGAATGTTATTTTGTTTTAGAGTTAGGGACTTAGGGTTTCTGGGTTAGGGATTTCTGATTTGCAAAAAACGGGTACCCGCAGGTTTACTTATATAACCTATTAATAATATGGGTCGGGCCGGGTATGGATTGAAAAAAAAACGGGTCCAACATATTAAACCCATACCCTATGTTTTTTACCCGGGTACAGGCCAACCCACAGGTCTGGACCCGTTTTGCCAGGTCTAGATACTCGAGTTTTTGCTGCCCAAAGAAACATTTTTTTGTGGTTGGCGACTATCTAATTCTCGTGAAGTGTCTGCAGGATGATCGTTAAGTGTTGCACATGCTCTTCCATGGTCGTACTGTACACGAGAATGTCATCAAAAAACACCAGAATAAACTTCCTCAAGTACAGCCAAAAAATATCATTCATTAGAGCTTGGAAAGTTGCTGGCGTGTTGGTTAATCCGAAGGGCATGACTAGGAATTCATAATGCCTTTCATGGGTCCTAAAGGCGGTCTTAGAGGTGTCTTTCTCTCTTACTCTGATTTGGCGGTACCCCAATTTCAAATCCAATTTGGAGAAGACTACAGTGCCCCCCCTCAATTCATCAAATAACTCAACCACCAAGGGGATTGGAAATTTGTCCGGAACTGTTAATTTGTTTAAAGCTCGATAGTTGACACAAAACCTCCATCCGCCATCTTTCTTTTTGACAAGTAACACTGGACTAGAAAATGAGCTTACATTCGGTTTGATAATGCCTGAAGCTAACATTTCTCTAACAATTCGCTTAATCTCATTTTTTGGGTAGTAGGGATTGCGGTAAGGTCGAATGTTCAGTGGTTGGGCGTTGGGTAAGAGCCGAATGGCTTGCATTGTTCCTAATGGGGGGTAATCCAGCTAAGGGTTTAAAAATTGACTGAAACAGCTCCAATATTTCCAGCAGTCTACTGTCCATGCATCCCCATCTCTAGCTATTTTTTGCAAGGAGCCGAATTCCACTATATACATTTGCCCTTCCTTCTGGATTGTCTTTAACATTGCTTTCAAGGATACCAACGTCTTGCTCAATGCCGGATCCCCACAGAGTGTCACAGTTTTGCCTATATCCTTGAATCTCATTACTTGGTTCTTCCAATCTATTGTTGTTTCCCCTAGCACCTCTAACCAGGCCATGCCTGACACCACATCCGAGCTGTTCATGTCGAATGGGAAAAAATCCAACACAGCCGAGACTCCTAAAGATCAATACAAATTCCTTGGCACTCACCCTCACTTCTCACCCGATAACCATCCCCTAATCTTACTCCAAATGACTGCGTCCCAGTGACAGGAACTTTTAATTTCTCAACTACTCCTCTACTAATAAAATTACGAGATGCCCTACTATCAATCAAAACAATTAATCCTGTATCCTGAATCATACCCTTTAATTTCATGGTTTTTGGTCCGTTGATCCCTACTACAGAACTGAGTGATAGCTCAATGTCATCCTGGGTAGTTCCTCAGATTCTTTGTTCGTTTTTCCCACCCTAACAGGCTTGGTTTCTTCCTCCTCTTCATCCATGAAGATGACTTGAAATTGTCTTCTCCATAACGGTGACTAGGAAAAAATTTTGCATCACACCTAAAGCACAAACCTCTCTCTCTTTTCTTCTGGATCTCATTCTCAGTCATGTGTTTAAAGGGAAACTTTCTGCGATTAGAAAGACTTTACTTTATGGGTTGATTCATCGTGAAGCTGCTACCTCTTTGGCTGTTGGCTGGGTTAGCATTTGGGAATCGTCACTGTTGATCCTAAGGAATGCTTGATTTGGGTGTATTTGTGAATGAGGGTTGGTAGATTTGCGACCTAAACCCATTGCTATTGAATCCTAATTGGCGACCCGAACCCTTCCCAAAGGAATTGATGCCTCTATTTGTTCCATTAAACCCACCAGATCGTGTCCCTTTATTCAGCCCATTTTTAATTTCATCTAAAGCCCAATTTTTTTCTTCAATCTTTTGGGCTAAATCTATCAATTGGACCAAAGTTTTAGGCCTACCCAACCTCACCTCAGCTTTGATCTCGGGCTTAAGCCCATTAATAAAAGTAGCCCACAAAATGTCTTCCCTAACCTCACATAATGGAGCAAATGTTGCCTCAAACTTACGACGATATTCCTCAACAGTTCCTGTTTGTTTGATCGCCATTAGAGCTTCGTAAGGACCTTCCTCTTGAGACCCACTAACCTATGGATAAGAGCGAGTTTGAAAATGGCCCACAAATTCACTGGGGCTTGAACTTCCATCCATTGAAACCAATTCACAACATCGCTTTCCATGCATACCACAATCGTGTTTAATCGATCCTCCTCCTCTGTGATTCTATACACGCTGAAGTACCTCACGATCCTAAATAACCAACCATATGGATCATCTCCTGAAAAAAGCAGTATATCCAGTTTCTGGCCACCATACTCTGGTCTTTCTCGCCCATGATTATCATGATTGTCATTTCCCCCTCCCTGGTTTAGATCGTTCCTCCCATGTAATTCAGCCAATCCACTCATTTCTCCCCTTCTAGCTTCTTCTTCATCTTTTCGTCTCATCCACGCCTGCATCTCCCTAGACAATCTCTGATCGTACCCAATTCTCTTTCAATATTATCAACCTTGTTCTCCATTCTAGTACCAACCATGACCTTGCTCTGATACTACTTTGATAGAAACCCTAGGCTTCTCTTGCGAAAGTTCACTCACAGACCACCACACAGATCACTTTGAACTCCAATGGTCACTAGCCAAAATTTCCAGTCACACAAGAACAGTTTTAACACTTCACACAATTGAAAACACAAGCAATGCTGAGTAATCTCAATATCTATATTTAATAACAACTCTGTGACATTCCTATTCGAATAATAAATCATCCACAACTAAAATTAAACATAATCAAAAGGTAAGCATAAACTAGCTCATCTAAGATGAGTCTGCATACAAAAATAAACTCGCTGGACTTCGAGGGCCAGCACCTCCCCAATCCCTTTTCCTTTTACAAAATCGATGATGATGAAAGATCCTTCTCATTGCCTTTTGTTCTTTGTACTCTCTTGCTATAACTGAATTCAGCTCCCTAACAAATCAGCATTTGCCACTTGTCACTCTCCCATAAACCCAATACCACCCACCATCATGCATATAACCTGACCTTAGTCCCTCATCCCACTTTTTACACCTTTATTTTTCCTCCCATATACTAAAGTGCTGTTGGTCTCATCAAAATACCAGATGAGGAACTGGATTTTGGCAATTTAAGGAGCTGATCCATCTGCTCTTTATTGAAGGGACTCATTTCAGCTTCATTTGCAAAAGGAACCCACGGTGGGATCTATCAACATGCCTGCTGCTCTTTCAATTAGTCGATTTTCCATGGATCTTCCAACAATTTTCACGAGTATGGCGTGGCTCGTTGTAGTGGTCACACCACACATGAGGTTTGTCGTCCATCCTTTGTTGACTAGCATTTGCATCAGCAACAGCCAAGGAAGAGTTCTCAATAAGACCTCTAGTAGTCTCTTTCCCAAGCATGACCCTCCTGCGACTCTCCTCCCTTCTAACTTAAGAGAATACCTCGCTAATTGGAGGTAGAGGTTTTCTGCCTATTATTCTTCCCCTCACTTCATCATACTCAACATCGAGTCCAGCAAGAAATTTGTAAATTCAAAAGTCTTCCTCTTCTTTCTCATTGTGGTTGTAGTCCTTTGTGGATTTCCATTCATAATCACTGAACAGATCAAGATCTTGCCATAGCTGTTTCAGTGTGTTGAAGTATTTGGTGACGTTATCATCTCCTTGCCGGATTTCAACAAGTTTCAAAATCAAGCCATAAACTTGGGACTGATTACCCATATCAGAATACATTTGGTTAACGTTGTCCCAGAGTTCCTTCATCGTTGGATAACACAAAAAAAAAATTGGACCAGATGTCTTCATTCATGGAATTCACAAGCCACGTTATTACCATGGAGTTTTCAGCATCCCAGGTAGCATATGTCAGGTCCTCATTTGGTAGTGCCTCTTATCTCCAGTCGGATAACCTATTTTCCCCTCGCCCCAAATATACAAGTGCACAGATTGGGACCAACACACAAAGTTGTCGTCATTCAAGCGGATGGTTGTGATCTAGACAGAGTGTAATTCGGTATTGGAGGCTTGGGTGGCAGTGGTTTTTGACTGGTTTCCAGAAGAACTAACTTCAGAAGAGGTGTCAGCCATGGTGAACAAAGGAGACGTAGGTGGAATAAGACTTAAAAGGTTTTTTTTTTCTTTTTCTTTTAGAAAGAGTCAAAGATCAAATTCCCTACTCTGATACCATAGTAAAAAATAGTATTTTTTAGGAGGAATTTTGTACATTTCTTTTCTTCATCAATAAGCTGTACATGTTTCCTATTTATAGGAGAATGCCTGGAAATAATTAGCCTAATTTACAGCAACTAATCACCCTAATTATAGGAAATAATTAGCCTAGTTTACAGCAATCAATTAGCTTAATTACTAGAAATAATTAGTCTAATTTACATAAACTAATTAGCCTAATTTAAAGGAACAAATCTTCTATTTTCCAACAGATAAATATTTTATTCCATTTTAAACTTTTAATATAATAAGGTATATATATTTTTTGCAATATGCAGATAATTATTATTATGTAGATTGTACAGTCAACTCTCTATATGGGAATTAGAAAAAATTTGACTTATTACAGTGAAATTTATTCTTATTTAGAATAAAGAGATTTTATTGTATTTAATAAAAAATAATTAAAAAAAAAAGCGAACGAAAAGGATCATAGGAAGGTTTTGGACCAGCCCAAAAGCAAATGAGGGTAAATTAAAAAGGAGCCTGTATCAAATTCAAAATTCAAACGGGGAGGTCTATGTTTGTTTTTTTGTAACTTTTTATAAAAAAATTATTTCACCGAAGTTAATAAATTAAATAAATTTAGGGTGAGTGAAGCTTGCGGTTGCGGATAAAGATGAAGAAAGCGTTGACGGTGCTCGGGGCCCTAGCGTTAGGGTGGCTTGCAATTGAGATAGCTTTTAAGCCGTTTCTGGACAAGGCTCGAGCCGCCATGGACAAATCAGATCCTGCTCGTGATCCGGACGACGACGTCGTTGAAGACGACAAGAAGTCTTCCTCTTCCTCCTCCGATGCCGATGCCGATTCTTCGGATGAGAAACCTTCCTATGAGAAGCCTTCTGATGCATAAGGTCATATTTAAATATTATTATATTTCTAGGTATTTGCTTTAACTACTGTTAAGTATAGTTTATGTATTAGAAGTTGAATTTCTACTGTTATGATTATTAGTTTTTCAGTTCAATTTTTATCACCTCGCCATAGCTCAAACCAATTTCAATCAGAAATTATGCATAGTTTTAATTTTAAGAAAACAGAAATCAAAATAAAATGAAGGGAATTCCAACTTCGTAATGAACTTTGTATGTCAGGAGAGCTGAAAGCTTCTTAATTTAACTTAAATTTAAATATCATTAGAAATTGCATTGGTCTCAACTACAGTGAGATGATTTTTATTTAGTGGCAGTTCCAACCACGTATTGGTACGCCACTGCCATCAATTGATATGACGATGTCGTTTTCGATCAGCAACTGCCACGCCACGCCACCACCTCCACTTAGCTCGGTGGGCCAATTACCCAAATGCCCCAAAACTCCACCAACCTCCGTCAAAATTCAGTAATAACAATCTGTTAACCATTTTTACCATCCAATATTTAAAAAATTCCTGCTCCATTGTTGTTAGGTCAACTAAAGCTTTCTGTTCTTGTTTACTTTCAGTCACTAAAAATCAAACCATACCAAGCTATTTGCTATTTCATTATTTGACCAACTTAATTATTGTTCTAAGGTCACTTTCTTCACTTCATGCCCAAGGAATGTCAATTTTATTTATCCATGTGCTTCTCTTCACCTACACCATTTATAATATGAGATGAGATTTTTCAGGTCACGGTGAGTGCTAAATACTAATCACAACTCGGTAGAACTCATCCATAAAGCTGATTTATAAGTTGAGATTATGTTTTGAATAGTGAAGTTTTATTTTGAAACTAGTTTACAAGTATCATTAGATCATTATTTGGGTAGGAAAAAGTCGTTAACTCTTTTTTTTTTTTTTTGGGGTAATCGGACGTTCAGGCCAATTTAAAAGTACCTCAACTAATCTCTAAAGTTCATTGAACATCGTACAAACTCAAATGATCATGTAAGTGATAGATAACCTCAAGATTTGAACTCAGAAACTTAAGGGGCCAACTCAGTTTAAGTCGTTTACTTCTCCAAATAATTAAAGAGGGACGTGTCTTAAATTGGTGCATACATGAGAAATAAACCCACAATTTGCATCTATGACATTATATGATCAATACTAAATGTTTTCTAATAGCATTGAATCTCATTTATTATGACAACATCGCAGTTGTCTAATTTTGTCACTGTGAGACAGCTATCCCATACTCATACTTGTAGCAAACCTATTCTTTCTGATCGGCCTCTAACATGCCACGTGTACACNGTTCTATCCACAAGTCTCATACATCCACTTCTTCAAGGAAACCTCCTTGAAGTTCCACTAGAATCGAATTTCGCCTTTAGACTAGTTTTCACATGATTTTACCTTTATAAGAGCATCTCCAAATGACTCTTTATATGATCCAAACTCTTTATTATAAAGAGTTTATCCATAAAAATAAGAGTTCAACAGACTTTTTATTTTTAAAATATAAATTAGAGAGTGAGTTTGACTCTACACATTTAGAGAGTCAAATTTCACTCTCTATCCTAATTTTAAGTAAAAAACTATAAGTTTCTATGCATTTTATTTATTAATTCTCTCTCCCATTAAGTCTCTTTCTTAAAAATAAAGAGCATCTTCATTAAATTTAAAGAGTCTATTGGATTTGAATAAAAATTGTGTTCTTTATATTTTAAAATTAATGAAGATGCTTTTTATTTATATGAAAGATGCTCTTTATTTAATTTGACAGGATTTTGTCTCTAGATTTACAGGATTTCGCCCAAAAAGTGTTTGATAAAACATGTGAGAAATATTGTCTCTTATCTTATGCTTGAACACACAATAAGAACAATACTCTCAAAGGTTTACAAATGAATAACAACAGAGTGATGCTTTGATTTGGATTTTGAGCTCAAGGGACTATGTGAGAATGTTTCGATATGACTTGAATCTCTGATATTCTCTCTGATTTTCTAAGCATTGTAGTGCTCTATTTAAGCTTAACATCTCCCTTATTTGCAAAGAGCCGTTACTGCATTTAATGTATGTCTGAAAAGCTTACAGACATAAAGGAATAGCCGTTCCATTATCGCGAACGGTCGTTCTTGACACCAACTGTCAATTTGTACAACTTTAGGGTTTCTAGTATGGTTGTTCCACCATGAGGAACTGTCGTACCATCACTGCAAATGGTCATTCCACCACGAGGAATGGTCTGACCATTGACTCCTTAAGATCCATAAAAATTCCAGTAGCATGAACAACTACCTGGAATGATGACATTCAGCCAAAAACGTTCTTTGAGTGTGAACAGTCGTTCCACCATGGAGAACGGTTGTTCCACTTTTGAAACTTGAATCTTCAAGGCTTGTCTTCCAAGATTCGTCGAAGGCGCGAAGAGTTTGCGTTTTGAGAAGTTTGACTTTTGGCTTGGATGGAACGGGCGTGCTACTTTGGTCGTGCTAATGTGAGCGACTTGGCTCCATTTTGGATAGAAGCATGCACGGTCACACGAAACGTTGTCCTGCTAAGAGGAACGTGCATCTGGGTAACTTTAATACAAAGGAACAATCGTTCCTTTACCCTGCATGGTTGTTCCAAGAGGAAAAATTGCATTTTGTTTTTGGTTATGACTTCAATTGGTATTATTTTTTTAAATTACAATTTAATACTTTATTAGAATTACTAGATAAGACATAAAAGAGTTCCTATTTAATCTGCTAATGTTTGTCTTTCCTCTTATAATTTTTGTTTCTGATTTTTACAATTTTGTTACTTTATATTTTTAATATAAGGATTGTTTATTTTTCATTTTGGTTATGTGACAACATTTCATGTTAGGTTCATAAAACCAGAGTAAAAAAGAGTACAAAAGAGTACTTTTAGGAGGAATTCTATATATTTATTTTTTCTGTTTTCAATAAGTTGTACATGTTTCCTTTTTGTAGGAGAATACAAGGCATAAAATCATGAACTAATTTACCTAATTACAGAAACTAATTAGCCTAACTTACAACAACTAATTAGCCTTATTATAGGACATAATTAGCCTAATTTACATCAACTACCTAATTATAGGAAATAACTAGCCTAATTTACAGGAACAAATCTTCTATTTTCCAACACTCCCTCTCAAGTTGGCTTGAAAATATCTTCCATTGCCAGCTTGTTAGTCAAGTAGTCAAATTGTTTCTTTTGAAGTCCCTTTGTAAGTATACCAGCAATTTGTTTGGTGGTTGGAACATATGGCATGCATATCATTCCACTATCAATCTTTTCTTTGATAAAGTGTTTATCCACTTCCACATGTTTTGTTCTATCATGAAGAACTAGATTATTAGCAATTGAGATTGCTGCCTTATTGTCGCTATATACCTTCTTGGGTGAGGATTAAGGAATCTTCAAGTCTTCTAAAAGTATTTTAATCCACACCCCTTTCACAAATCTCATGAGCAATTGATCTGAATTCTGCTTCTACACTACTCCTAGGCACCACATTTTGTTTTTCGCTTCGCCAAGTAACCAGGTTTCCTCCAACAAAAGTGCAGTAACCGGAAGTTGATCTTTTATTAGTTATACTCCTGGCCCTATTTCCATCAGTGTAGACTTCAATCTGTAGATGTCCACGTTTCTTAAACAATAGACCCTTTCCAGGAGTCCTGTAACAACTTCTTTCTACTATCATATTCATAAAATAGTTCAATAAAAAGACAAGTATATTTATCAAAAAGGTTGGGTCCAAATAAATTTCTTTACTTAATAAATACATTCTTTACATAGTACAACATCATTGTACAAAAGACTCTAAAAAAGACAGTGGACAGTGCAGTCAAGTCTCCCCGCTTGCCGACGTCCATCCGACCACGATCTCACCTATGTCTTGAAAAATAGAGAAAACAATGGGGTGAGCACAAAGATGCTCAGTAAGTAAATCTTCTACTCTATACTCCCCGTACAAATCTGTTCGTACTCTTGTTACTCTCTCTAGTTCAATCTCTCTTGTTCTTTCTCTACTTCTAACTCTTACCATTCTTTTCTTTCTTTCTATTCTCATCACCCATGGAGAATATCAAAACCATACATGGATGAGATATTAAAGAATAACAATGCACTTTCTTTCTATTCTTTTCTTATTCTTATTCTTTGCCGGTCTTGGTCGATGCATGGATTTGGAACCCTTGGTCATGTGAGTTTCCTCTCTCTCGGTATAGCCCTCATTTGCATGTACTCTCACGGCTATACAGATTCTGTTTCTCATTCTCATTCCGCTCTCTCATGGCGAGACCGCTCTCTCTCATGCGGTTTACATGCGGTAACTCTACACTCACGGTTCCCCATCGCACGACCTATTTTCTTTTCTTTTCTGTAGCACTTAATAACATTTTTCTCTAGTGCTAGTTTCTTTCTTTCTCTTTATTCTAAGAGAATTAGTTCTTTCTTTATCTCTATTCTAGGATTTCTTTCTCATTTCTCATATTTCTTTCTCATGTATTGCTCAATTAAACATATGCAATGGATGGCTCATGCCTAAAATCTTTCTTATATGCATTCATGACATGCAAATATGCTATGTAAAAAGTAAGGTCTCTCCTTCTACTCATGCTTTCTTTAGACATTTCATCAAACATATGTGTGCACACAAAAACTCTATTCTAATTGTTAATGATATTTCTCTCTTAATCTCCAAATAGGAGTTCAACTCCTTTAAAACATCATACATCCTGCAAGGAAAACACACTTCAAATATCCTCTCAAGTTCTTCTAATTCTATCCACATTTCTACCAAACTTAACAACACAATCCCCCCTTCTCATGGTGGAAATTCTTTCATATAAACACATGAATTCATCAACTCATTTCAAACATAGAAATTCAGCATTAAGCACATATATAATCTCTACCCTCATTCAATCGTAAATCACAACTTTAGTGAATTTTACTTACCTTAGACACAAGTAGAATCCTTAATCTCTCTACTCTTGATGGCTTGATACTTTCTCTTAAACCTTCAATACAAAACTCAATAAGGATCCTACTCTTTCACAATAAATTAACTCTAGAGTAAGGATTCT